TTGGAAATCCATCTGACCAACCGCTACCGTGTTCAGCCATGTTCTTTTAATGATTTCCACTGCCTCTTTTTCTTCCAACCACCCCACCTCAAATTGAAATGGCTTAGGCCCTTCCCTCAGACTACCTGTATTAAGAAGAATGGGATTATGGTCTGAGAAGAGCCGTACCACCGCTTTCACAGAGGCCAATGGGAAAACTTCAAGCCAGTCAGCAGACACAAGAAATCTGTTCAACTTGGACATAGCAAGATTACTTACACTATTATTGAACCAAGTAAACTTAGCACCAATAATAGGTAAGTCCAAAAAAGCATTTGCTTCAATAAAATTGTTAAACCGCATAAAAAGATTTATGAAGTGGTCTGCTAAACATTCATCAAGCCACCTAATGAGATTAAAATCCCCCCCAATAACAACAGGATATGGATCAAATTGTATAACAAAGTGCATATCAGAAATAAAACCATCTTTCAAGGATGAAGCATTTGGCCCATAGACATTCATAAAACCCCATGAAAAATTCAGCTGATTACCCCTAAAACCCAACAAAAGGAAATTCTTTTGTTTTATATTTTACACTATTTAAGCTAGCTCTACCACATATATGCAAAGAATGTCTTTTAGTATTGATTTCTTTATAGATCTGAATTTGATGAGACCTACCTCTCTCAACTCGTTTGAATATCTAAGTTTGTGCATGATCTTAGGTGGATCAAACTTCTCTTTGTTTGGCTAGTTCGATTTCATGTGTGTATAGACCTTCATAGTCCTTATAGGATTGTGAAGGGATTGTGAAGGGTATTTTTAGGCCAAAAAAGTTGAAAAGTAAAATAGAAAAAGGGGGTAAGAATGCGGTTTCCAAAAAGTTGGGTTTTTTGAAATTTTTGAAAAAAGCGTTACTTTTGATAATTTCCCTATTTTTTATGAGCCAATAGAAGGGTTCTATTGTGGAATATATATAAAAAAATAGTTTGTAGACTCAAGAAATCACTATATGGGTTAAAACGAGTACTAAATTGTGGGTGGAATGATTTAAATATTTTATGTTGAGCTTGAATTTTCATAGATATGAAGTTAACCATTGTGCTTATTTTCATGGTTCTGGTGATAAAGTTTTATTGTCTTGTTATTATATGTAAATAACATGATTGTTGCAAGACCATATTAAAAAATATTGCAACGCTTAAAGCTTAGTTGGACAGGGAATCTCAAATGAAATATTTGAAAGCCATTAGTTGAATTTTTGGAATGAGTATAACTAGAGATAAGAAGAACAGGAAAATCTTCAAATCTTCAATATTTTGAATACCAAACCATTTAATACCCTATTTCTTATGTATATGAAATTGCCTTCGAAATAATATCCATGCACTAAAGTGGAGAAGACACATATGTCTTGAGTACTATATTCATCAACATTAGAGAGCTTCATATTTACTATGGTTAGCACCAAATCTAACATACCACAAGTAGCCAGAGTTTTGAGATACATGAAAAATCCTAGAAATAATTACTAGATTGTTGTGCAGTGAGTCCTTTGTTATTTAATGGAAATTTGTAATGCTAATATTTCTTATAGTAAGATAGATTTGAAAGTTGCTAGTTCTATTGATGCAGATTTAGCATGTCACTTAGATAAAAGGTCTACAACCCATATATACGTTTTTGGAAGTGGTGTAATTAGTTGGTTATCGATGTTGTACTATGTGGGGGCTTTGTGTTCTACAAAGGATGAATACATGTCACTTACTCATGCATTTAAAAAAGGAATTTGGCTAAAAAAGTTAGTGAGTTTCTAGGTTTTTTTTTTGGGACAAATATTACTTACTTTATTAAACAAATCTACTCAAAAGAAATTACAAATAGCTAGAGCGGCCAATGAAACCCCTCTTTTAACAAGAGATTCAGCCAAGGAATTCGCCTCACGATAAACATGGCAAAACGAAACTGAGAGTGGAGCCACCAGATCCATAACCTGTAGCCAACTGGACTTCAGTTTTCAAGGAATACGCAGCTCCTCCTTGCACCATCTAATTGCATTCAAAGAGTCCCCTACAATAATGCAGCTACTCCCAAGGTTTTTAGGGATTAAAATTTTAATTCCTTAGAGCAAAGCCAATAACTCTGATTGATTAGCCGCGACTAAACCAATAGGGCCAGTATATAAAAAGATGACCTCTCCAAAACAGTCACACAACACACCCCCAATGCCCGCCAAACCTGGATTACCCAAAAAAAATCCTGTCAAAATTTAACTTAAAACCCCCACTCTTTAGTGTCACCCAAATACTCGTGGGTCTCATCTTTACTCTACCCATCAAAAACAAATTTGGTAAATTCAACATAACATATGTTTGTGAAATCCTCCAACCCTCCTTAGTGAGTTTCTAGTTTTGCAACAATGAATACTACTTCATTTTGGTAAGAAGAGTGATTTGTTCTTAGAAAATAATCCAACTTTCCATGATATGATTGAGCGTATTGATGTTCAACATTACTTTATTTGTGAAGCTGTAGAAGATGATAGAGTTTTATTACAGAAAATCCATATTGAGGCAGATATATTGACTAGCCCCATTGGGAATACAAACTTCAACTTGTGCAGGAGTTTCTTGGGGCTTGCGAGTTCCTTGATGATTAGTAACTAATCGGCAATAATTTCTTGGAGCAAAGTAGCCTGGATGTGAAGTGAAAGAATTATCAATTTTAGAGTTGAGTATTCAACATGTATTAAAAAAAATAGGATTCAATTCATTTAGGTATTAATTTTCTTATATATAAAATTACCATTGTTGTATAATGATATTTATGTAATAATTATATTATTATATACTTTACAATAATAAAATAATCATTATTGAAAATTATAATAAAATTAATTTATTTTTGTTATAATTTATAAGTAAATAGTTACAATTGTAGTATTAAATATATTTATTACCAATAAAATATTATTTTCTTAAAAAGAAATTATACTTATATGATTCATATATCCAAAAAATAAATTGCTGCAATTAAACAATATCACATAAAAATGAAAGTTTGCTTAATGCAAAAATGATGATGCAACATTCATTCATTTTTATGAAATTTTGCATGGGATCCACACATGGCAGATGATACATTTTATTAGGGTGTATTTTATCTTCTCTGTAAGCACCTAGCATAACTTTATTGCACATATAGAAATACAACCAATTATTAAAATCAAACATTATATCAATATTTACATACACCTAAGATCCACATAAACAATTTAGTTCTTACGTTAAACACTACATACTTCTAAGTAAAAGTAATACCAAAAAAACTCCAAGACCCTTAAACCCTTCCATCAATTTTACTTTGACTTGCATAAAGTTGAATAAAGAACCAACCGGAGGCCAAAAAAAAAGAAAAAAAAAAAAAAAGTTAGGACCTTTTAGATAAGCTCTTAGGCGGAGTAATAGCATAAGAGCTTGAGCTTGAGATAAGACAACCTAGAGATGGATGCAAAACAATGTGAAAGAAAATAGGAGATAGCAGAAGAAACAAATAAGGATATACTAACCGAAGGTCTCTCATGGAGAGACTCTATGGTCTCGGTCAAACTTCATCGTGCACGGCCGGCCGTGTTGCGCTAACTTAAAAAAGAAGCAAAAAAGAAAATAATAATTATAATAAAAGCACAGCATACGTACAATCAACAGGAAATTACCAAGATTAATAAATATAATATATGTAAAGCCACAAACACATAAATTACTTTTAGAGAGGTCCTTTTTTTGTTTTATCTCATAAGATGGAAGTTTTGGCAAGCTCATATCTAAGTGCTTCCTTAATATGATACGCACAAATCATGGTTTTGACATTTAAGGCGCGTTTATGGGAAGGGAAGCTTGTGTAACTCTAATATCCAATGGGCTTATATACACTTTTTTTTGTTCATGACGTGTAGCTGGGATTCATCAATACATTTCTCGAAAAGAAAAACAAAAAAAAAATAAAAATAAAAAAACAAAAAATCTAGACAATATACAATATCAAAAGAAAATAGAAATCAACGTACCTATGTAGAAAAAAAAAAACAAGATTGCCTTAAAGAGAAATAGCATGTGTGTGAAGCACATGTTAAAAGTTGAGAGAGAGATGAGTGCATGAAGTGAGAGAGAGATAGTAATTTACTTAAATTGGGAAGAGAGAGAAATTTACTTAAATTGAGAAGATACAAGATGATGTATCACCACATTAAAAATAAAAAGTTACTTAGATGATGAAGTGTCATCGTATTAAAAAAAACAGTTACTTATTTTTATGTTTTTGCCTGCATGTAGGGAGATGAGTGCATGAAGTGAGAGAGAGAGAGTAATTTACTTAAATTGGGAAGAGAGAGAAATTTACTTAAATTGAGAAGATACAAGATGATGTATCACCACATTAAAAATAAAAAGTTACTTAGATGATGAAGTGTCATCATATTAAAAAAAACAGTTACTTATTTTTATGTTTTTGCCTGCATGTAGGTTGAGAGAAAGAAAATGTAAAAATACGGGGAAAAAAAAGATGAATAAATTAAATTTACTTTAATTGAGAAGAAAAAAGAGGAGGTGCCGTTACATATTTATATGTATTTGCATACATGTAGAATGTGGAGAGAGAGATAATGGAAAAACTTGGGAGAGATGGAAAAAAGAGTAAATTAAGAGAAATAAAATGGAGAGGGTGTAAAAATCTAGGCCGAAAAAAAAAGTAAAAATTAAATAGAAAAAAAAAAACAACGTAGGGGCGATAATAAAAGAGGTAGTTGCTGGATGGTCAAATGTGACTCTATCTCTCTCATACCTCTCTCTCTCTCTCCCCAGACATCTCTAGTTTCTCCCGCTCACAATAACCAATTTCTATATTGAGGGTGCAGAGATTTATACGTGCATTGCCAAGCCAAAGGTCTGGCGCAATTTTAGTCTGTGAAAAAGGAAGAGAGAAAGAGCGATAGAGAAAGAGAGAAAAAAAGAAGAGGAAGAAGAGGATTGGGAGGGGGAGGAGAGAGAATGACAGGTGCAGGAGGTGAGGGAGAGGGAGAGAGAGAGAGAGGTGGATCTCAGTCCCATTTCGTCGCGGTGGCCATTGACAAAGACAAGAGCAGCCAGTATGCAGTAAAGTGGGCTGTTGAACACCTCCTCCGAAAGAATCAGATCCTCCTCCTCCTCCATGTCCGGAACAAGGCCATCCCTGTGCACCGTAAGAAAACTCTCTCTCTCTTAACAATTCTCTCTCTCTCTTAACAGTTCTATCTCTATCTTCTAACCAGCCAAAAAACCAACCAGCTCTCTCTCTCTCTTAACTAGCCAAAAAGAACCCTCTCTCTTTCTCTCTCTTCTTTTTCACAAGGGTATTGTAATTTTATGGCTTAAATGATAAGTATATTTTATTTTTGGGTAATGTCGAGTACATCAAAATCAAAGAAATAAATCATTCGAAACTTGAAGGAATTGAAGCTCAGCACCCTTCTTGTTAGCCTCCCAATAAACATGTCTAAACGAGATACACAATTGATTACCAAGATCCATCATCATCCATTGAGTCCTCAATACCCACGGGGTTTAGAAACTATGTTACTCCAATTAATGACGTTTAAGGAGTCCCCTTTTATTATGCACCGATACTTCTCTCTCTTTTGCTTCAAAATATTTAGACCTTGCAGTAGTGCCATCAGCTCCACTTCATTCATTGTTTTTTCTTTACATGGCCATGCGTAACAAAAGACAATTTCTTCATCTGAATTTCTAACTGCACCACCAAACTCTACTTGCCCTGGATTGTCTAACGAACGGCCATCAAAGTTTAACTTCAAATTTCCCGTCGCTCGTGGTTCTTGTCCTCCTTAAGGTCTTGTCCTTATCATTCTTTGTATCATGACGTTTGAAAGATTTACTTCCACATCCACTTTTAATATTCCAAAATCTTTTTTAGTTATCCAAAACCATCTCCACATTGTATGCGGAATTCTCCTTTGGACAGTATCACACTCTATCAATTCCCCTTCAAACACCCGTCCACTCAACTCCAACCGAGCCTCCCGCAACATTGCTGCCCTACTAATCTGCAAAACCATTCCTCCAATCTTTGGCAAGCCATCAAGGCTTAGGTGGTCTATTATTTGAGTGTGGCAACAAGGCAAAGTAATAGAAATGCCCATCTTCTGAAAACACCAACTCCAGATTTGAAAAGTAAATGGGCAATGGAGAAACAAATAGTCCTCATTTTCATCACTTCCTTTAGCCAAAAGACAACTATTAGCAAGAGTTTTTCCTTTTTTTTATAAGATTATCAATCGTTAGCATCTTACCTTGAAACAATATTCATAAAAACCTTAACTTTATGAGGGATGCACCAACACCGTATCTTTTTTAATCGACTTCATCTAATCCTGTCATGAAATGGTAAAACATTAGATCATCCTCCACTCCTTGGATACTTCTCAGCACTTCTAAATGGCCTGACAAATCATACGCTTCCTCCACCACCACCAACAAACTAACTTCTGCAATGAAAATAAGGGGATAAGTTATTTTTAGTATGGATTCTCCCGACCACTTACCATGCCAAAAGGATACTTTATTCCCTTCCCCAACAATCCATCTATTATAGTGAATCACAAAGTCTCTAGATTGCATAATTCCTTCCACACATATTCTTCTTTTGTCATCGACCTCCGCCACCATTTTGCCAGATGGATCTGATGAGTAAACTTGAGCCTTCGAATGCCCAATACACTTTTATTTTCGGGGTGCATACTCTATCCCAACATACTCGATGATACTTCTTCTCATGCTCTCTAGAACCCCACGAAAAGTTATGCATAAGCTTTTCGATATTCTTAGAAACTGAAGACGGCATCACTAGTAATGACATTTGGTAGATTGGAAGATTTGATAAAGATGTTTAATTAGAATAGTTCTTCTTCCTACTAATAAATTTTCTGACTTCCACAAATCCAACTTCGTATGAATCCTTTAAATTATAAGATCCCATACCGAAATAGGAATTATAATATATTATATAGGGAATTTATCCACTTTACAACCTAAATGATAGGCGAGAATTTATCCCTCACTCTCTCTCTCTTTCTCATGTTGCAAACTTGAAGATATGGAGAAAGGGACCCCACGGTTTAAATCAACATTTGAATTCATAGACCCCCTTATTATTAGGAAAATTGAATCATGCGGGCTAGACCGCATTTCTACATATGCAGTTCAGAAAGTGTAAAGCATCCATCTTAAAGATGGATGTAAGCAGGTGTTCCATCTAAAAACAATGGAAAGTAATGGTCCAAATGTTTTTTACTAGAATTATAATTTCTATTTTTTCCAAAATTATTTATTTCTTCATATTCGTGGTCTCCATGTTCGATTACATGTCCTTAAAATTTAAGTCTTAAAATCTATCTCAAAAAATAGATTTATTAAGAGGCTTGCATTTCTACATATATGGGTTTGGCCACATAGAAACCAGATCCTTATTATTATGCATTGTTTATTATTACACTAATATGTTAAATATTTCCTTATTCGTCTTTAGTTTCTTTTGGAGTGATACAAAACATGTTGGTTTTGTTAAGATTTAGGAGCACAAAATCTTTTGGCTTTTTTTTCTTGGATGAATTCTTTTTGTGTTTGTTAAATTTTTATTATTCGAATTTGGAAACACAGAAAGGAGTAATGCTCTAGCAACCTTCTTATGTTTGGGAGTGAAACTTTACAATGGATATAGAGGAGCCTTTTAACTAGAACTTCTTAGCTCTTGTTTTTTCATCATTATTAAAGCTTTTTTCCAATTAATTGAAGTCAGTTACATGAATCATGTCTTCAATTCTGTTTCTTATAAAGTATTATTATGATAGCTAAGTGAATGATGTATCAGCATTTCTGTATGAGCACTAATAGTAGGTCCATACGTTGTGCTTTTGCTTGACAGCCATACTTATTATTCATTTCAGTGGTTTTCATTAGTCTGCTTTGCTGGGGATCCTAAACCTCCCTCCTCTCTCTCTCTCTTTCTGTCTCTCTCACTCAGACAGCTTCTCCATCAGTGAAGCCGTCCAAGACACACACCTTGAACAGGTTGAGGCTGACATGCAACAGCTCTTCCTTCCCTATCGCGGTTTCTGTTCTCGAAGACAGGTTCTCTCTTTCACTGTCTCATATACATCATGTGAACTACTAGATGACTTAATTCGTGGAAAGCTAAAGCAGTTCAATTTTTGTTTTTCGGAAGTTTAATGGTAGGAATTGAATTTGAGATGTAACGTTGCCTGACGTCAACTACTAACCACTCAAGCCCGGGCCAGATTCTTTAAGGTAATTCAATTATTGCTCACCTTGTGGCTCTTTCTGTATTTCAGATGCAGCACAAGGAGGTGGTCTTAGAGGACTATGAAGTGTCCAAGTCTATTATTGAATACTTAACAAACAGCTGCATCGACAGCATCGTAGTGGGTTCCTCGTCCAGGAATGCCTTAACAAAGTATCTCCCTCCTCTCTCTCTCCCTCCTCTCTCTCTCCCTCTCTCTCTAATCATATCCAATGTATCAAAAAGTGCTAGGCGCCCAACGTCTAGGAAGGTGCTCAGAACCTGGGCGGCTGCCCAATTGAAAAAAAGTAAACAACATGCTAAATTACCAATATATCATATTTCAAGTTGAAAAAAAAAAAATAGACGTCGAGAAGAGAATTTTCATAATTCATATTGTTAAAACAGTTAACTGTAAAACCATACAAGCGTAGGACTATAAAAGTCAACACTCAACACAACAAAAATATACAGAAATTTAG